CATGCTCAAAAAATAGAGAAGGGGGGGAAATGTCAGCATGAGAGCATTCGTTAAGATATTTAGTTCCTTCTAGTGGTGGGTCAAAGGTAGCGTCATTAACTTGAACCACATAAAAAATCTGTGGTAAATGTAAGAAAGTGAAAATAATATTTTGCAAATATGCAATCAAAGCAAGAGATCATACATAAGAGTGTTTAGGGTGGAAATGTAGCTGTATAAGCCTGAAGGCTAGTATTTAGATCGTTGGTATTTGTAAGTATGTATTTGCAGTTTTTATCTTCGTCTTTTACAAGTCATTTTACCACGTATCAGCATTTTCTTTTCTTTGCATTGATCACCTTTGTATTCCTTCTGCTGTGAATAGTGGTATCTATTACCTGGGTCCTTCCTCTCAGTACATTTTCTTTTTCTTTCAGTAACTTCTAATGAAAGTCAAATTGATTCCCAGAATGTGGCCCCTGGGGAGTTTCTATACAGAAAGTCTGAATATGGCTATATGTGGGGTTTGCTTCCTGATTAGAAGCTGTAAGTGCAAAAAGCTAAGATAAAACTATGGTTTAGTAAATGAAAACTGCCGCTGCTCTCGTGTTCAGGCTACCAGAGCTTTAGATTAATGCAATGCGCTTCACATACAACTATTTGGCAGTAGCAACTTCCTGCTGAGAAACATAGATTATTAATATTTATCAATTCTGACATCCCATGGCCCTCCTTTGCAGAATAATATGGAAGCTGCCATCATCTGATAGTCCTTTGCTGTCACAGTTTAAATGGGGCTGCTTAATTGCTTAATTGGGAGTTGTCGGTGGACAGCATTTTTGGTATGGAAGTCTTCACCTTTTAATTCAGCTCCTCTCTTCAGTTCTTCCTTGACCTTCCCTCTCTTTGGGTTCTAAGTTAATAAAGTTTCCTCTGACATTGCACACAGAAAGGGAAGAAAATTATTAGGATGGAGGGTTTTATTCTCTTTAACAGACTGTAGCACTTTGATGCTGTTACACGTTTTGTGACTTCCCTCTTACTGTATTTCGTCTGGAGTCAAATGTCCTCTGAGGCATTTGATAATTTTAGATCGTCTAACGGGAATGTCAGTTTTAGACCCAAGGCCTGTACCTCTCCAAGCACTTTGTGTAAGGCCAAGTAAGGATATCTTTCTATAAAGGACACAATTTGTAGCTCTTAAATTGAATAACTCAGTAATACATTCTTTCCTTTGAATCTAGCATATTCAGTGAAACAAGGTTTAATGACAGGTTGGGACACAAGCTGTATTTAGTGCAGCACAGTAGAAGCAAATCAGTGGAGTGAAGTAGTCGGTCCCAAGGACCCAGCCCCACACTGCAAACTTTGTGGGGGTAATGGTTCAGTTTAGGTTTGCTCCTGTGGGCCGAGTTGCAGTTGGAGCACCGCTGGTGAGCTCTGGGAGCGTATATTCCCATTCGGTCCATCGTGCCCTCCCAGATCACTGCATAACATGAGTCCAAGCATGGTATAAGGGTATGGTCTGGAGATATGCCTCATAAATGCACTAAGCCCAAACTACAATGATAATGTAAATGCATCACAGCTGACGTATTTGTGAAATGCTACAAATGCATCAAATACGCACACAACTTTGGCTGGCATTAGTGGAAGGAAGCAACAGAGAGGGGTGAGAGAGCTCACAACTCCTTTAGCTGCATCCATGTCTGACTGATGTTCAGCACGAGCGAAGGATGCAAAATCGGTACCCAAAATGCCTCAATTATCAACACAATCCTAGAGCTTACTCTTTTCAGTGCCCTGCTATTGCTCAGGAGTAACCCATGCATTTCATTTTCTCTACACTCTCCTTTTTCAGATAGGCTTCATTCCTGCATTTCTGAGTAAAGTCCTAGAGCCTACCCTATTTGGATTGGATCAGTAAGACTAATTCAAGACCTTAGTTACTAACTACGCTACTCAGCGGATCCCCTCCTATAGATTTGTCTTTAAGAGCCCTGTAGAATCACCAAATCATGTAGCAATTCATGACAGCTTCTTCAAAATAAGTATTCTGTATTTGCCCACAGGAGCAGAACAAAGAAAATAGCACTGAAATACCAGAAAGTTTACACACATGTTAATTATCCTTAAACCAATAGCTTTTCCTTGATCGCATAGGTAAGTATTGCCTGTTTCAAAGCACCCCCTTGTGCAGGCACTGGGTAAGACAAGTTGTACAAGAAGCTTCTGGCTCCCTGACACCTCGGTCGTGTGGTCAGGATCTGCGTTTTTCATGTCACCCACCCTGCTTCGTCTGCCAGAGGTCTTTTGTTCAATGGATCATGTCCAAAGACCTCCTGAGATTTCAAACTGCGCTACTGAACCTGATCAAACTGGTTTAACGTAGATGGAGGTAGTCTTCAAACTGTAGATTCCCTTTGTTGTCCATTTAAACACTGGAAAAATGAAATTCTTTGAAAATCTTGCATAAGTGTGGGTAAAGTCCAACTGGAATTAACCAATATGAATCTCCAAAGTAAGCCACTGTGCAAAACCAAGAAAGTTCATATACTGTTGGTAAGGTTTTTGTAGATATTATTCACAGTTGGTAAAAAGGCTGAAAAATTAAAGGCTGTAGACTTGAGTCTTCCAAAGTGACTAGTGACTTCAGTCATTTCATTCTGGCCTGTCCACCTTGAGATGACTTTATAGAAAACTAATTTTTAAGAACTCATCTTTTTCTGGAATTCAAGCTTGTCTGGCAGCGTCATGAATTGGGGAGCACAGATATGAAAACTCTCAAAGTCTTTTGCAATTTTGGAAAATCTGCCTGTATTATGTAAAATGATTAACATTTAAAATTATTTAAATAATGCTTTTGCAAGGAACAAACATCGCTTCAAAGCCAATGATAACTGTATGTTTCACTTGTCTTAGATCTAACATTTACATCCATTGATTGGGCAATCTCTGTCAATGGCAAGGTTCGGATGAGCCATCTCCTTGGCAGAGATAGTACACTTTTATTAGGAAAAAAAAATCCATTCCTTTTTGCTTTTTCAGACTTGAAGTTGTTTTGGAAATGCCCAGATTTTTTCCTTTATTGCTTATGCTTCGTTTAATAAAAAAGGAAGTGTATTTTCTTTGAAGAGATAAATAAGGAATTCTGCATAATTCTTGGTGTCTCAGATATTAATTTGATGATCATTTAATTGCATCACAAGAGCTATTGGGTGAAATTAAATTACAAACAGATGAGAGCAGACAATGCATTATAAAAAAGAAGCTGAGGTATCTGCAAGTGTTTCAAATGCTCCCCAAGGCACCCTATATCGTTCATGCTCCAGAGAACTGAGGCAGCAGTGCCAGAATACCACTTTACACAACAGTTTCAGCACAAAGGCACCTGACTTCACTACCTACACAAGCTTTTTCATCTGTAGGATGCATTATGCATATATCCTATTAACGCCCACATTCCCTATTTCCTCAATTCCTTGGTTCTCCCAGCTTACCCGCATTTGATGTACCCTCTTCTCTTTCCTCCCACAGTGCCATCCTGCTGGCAGAACTCCATCCCGTATTCTTGCTGCTCCCCATATTTGCTGGCATCCTGCTTCAAGCACTGCTGACAAGGCAGCAAAACAAATAGCTGATAAATTTGGGCACGGCATTCATTTCATATTGACATAACTCCTGTAGATTAGCTCAGATATAAAGTATAGTGTTATGTAAATACCATTTCAGATGCTAAGTATCTAACAGACTAAGTACACATGTGAAGTTTAGAATTTGAGAAGAGCACACATTGCCTGTGAAAGGTGATGGTTTTACATTTGTGAGTGCTGGATGGAAAAAAAAAATAATTGTAGGAGAGTCAGTTGTGCTACAAAGTGTTACCACACCAGATTTGAAGACAAAATGAAATCATTAATGCATGAAATACAGATTTCAAGTTGTGATAAGTGCAGATCTAATGCAATTTTAACTGCAGAATTGCTGCTGCTGACTCCATAAAATAACATCCCATAAACAGCTGTTAATCTGTTCACTGTTTATCTTTTAACATTCATTTGTTTAGTAATCAGTTCTCATTTGTGCTACATATGGTACAGCTTCCCTTTTATAGCAGCTGCATTGGAGAACATTTGGAGGCACAAAAGTATTGCAGAAATTATTGTTTAACTATTCTCCTGCATTATCTTTGTATCTGTCACCAAGGACATTGGAATAAAAGTTAGAAAAAATGGTCATTAAATTTAGAGTAAGGAAGGTGTAGGTGCTCTGTCCTCTTCCTGAACTGGTAATTTGTAGTGGAAGTTCCTGTGACCATGCTTCACACTCTGCTTAACTCCTTTAAGCAATTAATTTTCTCTATTTATACTGTCCATTCCCTTTTGTGATTCTCTGACGTCAACAGTTGCTCTGTATCATGTTAGAGACCTTTAGGTAATGCACTGAGAGAGTATCTTGCAGACCTGATAGACTAAGTGCATTTCGAGATTTTTAGAAAATGACAGTTTACAAGATTTAAAATTTTGTCAGGTGTTCTGGTTAAATGTGGGGATCAGTGGTCATTAAAGCTGGTTTGTATGAAGATAATTCCCTTCTGGAGTACTTGTGTTTGAGTGTCATCTTAATTCCTTTTTTCCAAAAATTCTGATCTTTAACAAGACCATTTTATCATAGTAAGTGTTCTCTGTTACTTATTCATGCTTCAGCCATGTCCAGCATCCTGGGCTGAATGAATAAATGGAACATACGCTTTTCTTTATAGGAAAGTATAGGTGAGAATATAGCTATGTACTGAAACTTTGCTAGCGTTAGGGCACGATAACTAATAGGGCAGATGCCCTTGGATTGGGCAGTCCTTTGTCCTTGGTCAGTCTTTACTGGTGACCTTGACCTGCATCTGTTGCGAGTCTAAGTACAGCAGTGAGCAGAGGAGAAGGGCTGTTCATTAAAACTGACTGCTTGGATCGGATGCCATTCTGGAAAGGGGAAATTCCCAGTCAGTTCCACCCGATTCAGCCGCAATGCCAGGTAGATTGGGGAGATGATTAAAGAAAGAAGCAAGTAATTGCCTAAATGTGCTGAACATTTTACAGATTTGCACAGTGTAAATATTTTGGACATATTGTTTTCAGATGGTTGATTAATCAAAATAGCTGCAAGTGAGTTTGATATGTGTCACCAGGCATGTATATAGATAGAAGTGTTAAATTGGCATTATGTGTGCAAATGCTCAGTTGGGAGAAATATATAAATGATGACAGGATATTTTAGAAAGGATTTCAGGTATTTCTGCAAGGCATTTTCATTGGAAAAGGCTTAGCTGTGAGAGAAATGTGTTGGTTTCTTAATTTAACCCTACTAACAGTTTACCACCTTCTTTTTGTGTGTTTTTCTTTTTCTCTTCCAGTGCCACCTTGGGCCTTAATAGCCATAGCCATAGTTGCAGTCCTATTAATCCTTACCTGCTGCTTTTGTCTCTGTAAGAAATGCTTGTTCAAAAAGAAGAACAAGAAGAAGGGAAAGGAGAAGGGAGGGAAGAACGCTATTAACATGAAAGATGTTAAAGATTTAGGGAAAACCATGAAAGACCAGGTAAAGTACCTCTCCTTTTCTTGAACTCTTGAGTTGCATTTGAAGGTTTCTATTTGATGTGTCTACAAAAAGTTTTGCTTGTTGCCTCAGTAGTGGCTCTGTGAAGAGGGGACTGATTGGCAGCATCTTCTCGGTGGTATCACAAAAGATGAATCTGGGTGTGGCATCACTGATAAAGCAGTCAGCCAATTTCCCTGCTCTGCTAAAAAAAAATGAGCAGGCATATAACGACTCATCTGGAAGGGGCAAGTTCATTGAGAGTATCTTGGTTGTCCCAAATATGAAGCAAATGTGCACAATTTTCACTGTCCTTTTTCAAGACTTTGACCAGGACCTAGTACAGTATTTGTATATCTTTCTAGCAGTATTTCTGAGCTTACATGATAAATAAAAGTAGCTCTGAACTCTAAATCTCTTTTTATACAAAAGCAAAAGTTCAGCAGAGAAAAAACCAACAGTATAGAAGAAAAAATGAGAAGCATAGAAACAAGGGAAAACAACCAAAAAGGAAGAGCACAGGGGCATTCAACACAATGATGTTGGGAGAATTCATTTTGTACTAGAGAGGAAGATATTAAAGATAACAGGCCATACTTGTAGCTGTAAGTCAACTGAGTAACTTGAGGAAAAGATTAGCATAATGAGCAGCATCATTTTCATAAGGGCAGAAAAACTTGTCCTTCAGATCTGCTTCATCCAAGAGAAGCAGAAGGTCCTAATCCTCAGGGCCATAGATTTGACTAATATGTTTCTGAAAGAAAATAAAGCTTTTTTTAACAGGGTTTTAGTACTGCCCTTCCTGGAGCAAACTGTTGAGAATAAGCAGAAGAATGGGGAAATAAATGTGAAGTATCCATGTGTCCTCACTGCGTTGCCAGATTTCCTAAGCTAAGAAGACAGAGAGCTGTATTTTTCAAACGGAAAGTACTGAAGAGATTTAGAGAATTGCTTTGCAAAACCTCTTTGCTAGGAGCCAATAACTGTAAAGATATTGCATGGTCAAGCCTGTGCTCCCAAGACCCCTGGTGAGGTTGAGCCAGAGCAGTCCAGAAGCACTTATCTAGCCAAAGAGAGAGGATAAAAGCATGGTCAGGAATGAGCAGTTCCTTCCACAAGTTGGGATCTAATGTAGAAGAAAGTTGGGCTGAAGGCAGGTTGATTAGAAGTACAAGCCAAAGCTGGGAACCTGAGGAACAAGATCCAAGAAGAGAAGCGTAGAGCACAGTAGCTAAGAGGCCCATGGAGCAGTCTAGAACAAGTGGTGAGATGCCACTGTACAGTCATGGAGCAGCCATCAGTGTGGCTCATCAGCCACTCTTAAGAGTCCTGGGACAGGTTAGCATGCTTTTCCAAGCATGTAAGATGTGATAGGGGAAGAGCAAAATCAGGAGAGTGGATGAGGAAGCCTTACAAGTCTGATGACTAGAATCAGCATAGAATCATAGAATCATTAAGGTAGGTTGGAAAAGACCTCTAAGATCATCAAGTCCAACCGTTAACCCAACACCACCATGCCCAATAAACCATGTCCCTAAGCGCCTCATCTACACGTCTTTTAAATACTTCCAGGAATGGTGACTCAACCCCTTCCCTGGGCAGCCTGTTCCAAGGCCTGACCACTCTTTCAGTAAAGAAATTTTTCCTAATGTCCAGTCTAAATCTCCCCTGGTGCAACTTGAGGCCATTTCCTCTCGTCCTATCGCTAGTTACTTGGCAGAAGAGACTGACCCCCACCTCGCTACAACCTCCTTTCAGGTAGTTGTAGAGCGCGATGAGGTCTCCCCTCAGCCTCCTCTTCTCCAGGCTAAACAGCCCCAGTTCCCTCAGCCGCTCCTCATCAGACTTGTTCTCTAGACCCTTCACCAGCTTCGTTGCCCTTCTCTGGACACGCTCCAGCACCTCAATGTCCTTCTTGTAGTGAGGGGCCCAAAACTGAACACAGGATTTGAGGTGCGGCCTCACCAGGGCCGAGTACAGGGGCACGACTAGCTGCAACTGGATCACATGAGTACAGTCTAAAAGGAGCTCAGATAAGGGGAGGAAAATAATGGATAAGCTTCAAAGGTACAGAGCCATCAGAGCTATTTCCAGTTTCCATTATCGACAAGAGGACAGTTTTTGTTGTTCTTGCTCAGTAGACAGTATGGGAAGAAAATAACTGAAGATCCAGTTGTTTTATTCCTGCTCATGTACTCAGTTGCAGTAGCCAGTACTAAAATGTTGATTCATTAGACAGTAGTTAACTTTTCTAGTCTGTAGTTACACTACACCAATAAAGTAAGCCTTGGCAAAATTCGTTACTTTCAAGCTGTGTGTATCAACATTTTATAGTGACCACTGTACACACTGTCATCACGTGAGTGATGAAGGAAAGAGAGGCTTGATCTGACACAATCTGGTTTGGTTCTCAGACCATACGTACACATTGCATGCTTACAGCTAATGAAGTTCACACCAGTTGCCCATCTTAGGTGTACTCGTGTCTACATGCTAGTAGGCAATACAAAGCAGATTTCTCTACAGCCATCCCAGATTGCCATACCGCAACTAAAAGCATGCTACACAGGCACAAAGAGTGAGCGGCTGGAGACCCTTGCATCCACATTGCAAGTGGAGCACTTTAGATAGTGCCCTGGTGTGCAGCTTCGACCTTGGTTCCACCTAGAGAGAAGATGCTTCATGTGCCACACTGGTGTACTGGAGTGCATGACACAAGACAAATTCACACCTGAAAACAACCTTGTCAGTACACAAAATCACTAATGTAGGTGCAGCTATTCCAAGGTTAGGAAGATTAGTGAGGCCGAGCTCAAAAGACAACAGAGCAGAAATTTTGAGTTCTCCCTTGAAAAAGATTTTATGCTGATTTTGTTTTCTCCATATGATGAGTGTGAAACAACCCCCTTTTCTTTAAGCACTTTGATTTAGCATTCGTAGATTCCCTGTATTTGATTTATAGACTTTGTTCTGGGCTATTAATATTAAGTAATTGTGAGATATTTCCCCCTCAGCAATGCATGGAAAATCAGATCATCAATTGTTGGGTTACCCTGGGCTACTGTTAGCCAACTCCTCCCATTGAACCAAGAATAATTTGGAAGAACTGTTTGATTATGCTTGTGGAAAAATTCCTTGAGATGTTTGTTATGTTCTACTAATGATAACAAGCCTAATACTTTGTTGTAGGACAAATAATGTGCAATTTGTTGATTGATATTTATGTGGAATTTGTTCCATATCGTGTAAGGCCATTGTTGTATTTATTATTAGTATATTATTAAGTGTTTTTAATTATATTCATTAGGACCTGGATGAATGACCTAGATGAATGGATTCTTGGAAAATAACTATTTTAAATGCAAAATTACATTATGTAATGAATATTGAGTTTCATTTCTATGTTTTTCATGGGAAAATTTGATGAAAAGCTGAATCATGCATCTCTTGTCTACAAAAAGAGCTCAAACTTTCAAATGTGGCACGGATAGGTATTTTAAGATGACTCCATTCAAAATATTCAGTATAGTTATTTAAACATACTTTTGCCCAAATATTTTGGGATTTAACCAGTATGTTTTGTTTTGCACAGTTAAACCTAAGGAGGGTAGTTTCTCAGTTGGTGTAAATGTCAGACTTTTAATGAGTGGATGCATCACCAAATCTCCAACCAAGCTTCCTCTTCACTGTCTGGGATTTCAAAAACAGGCTGCTTAAATTAGCCCCTTAAATTCATACCTAGCAGTCTGATAGTGTACAGATTTTAAGTCCTTGGCATTCAATAACTTTTACCAACTTAATTTCTAATTTGTGAATTTTAGCTGTCTTTTCTTTTTTCTTTTCAGTATTGTTTATTCTATTCTATTTCTATTTCAGATTGTTTATTCTAACAGTTTAATCTTGAATTATCAGTGCAAATTTTAATATACCTAGCTGAACTTAATGCAATGCTAAATGTAGAGTATTTCAGTAAAGAGAATTGAACCACTTAAGGGCTCTGGCATAAAATAGAAAGGGGAAAAACAAGAATGCCTTTTAGCTCTCTGAAGAAGCAAATTTTAATGTTAAAAAAAAAAAATTGAAGATCAAGATGTAAATCTAATGCCATTATAAAGGGCAACATACAGTACCAAAGATCTGAAATGTTGTCAAAAAACCAGAAAGCTTAGTTCAGTCATTGTTAGGCCTGAACCTGCAAGTGCTAATTACCTTCTGCCTTCAGCTGAGAGTGCATAATAGCAGTTGATAGGCACTTGGCATCTTGCAAGATCCTAGTTCCCTAGGCACACAAAACTTGAAAGGGAGTAGCATTTGGTAAATTGGAAGTATCAGATTCTGGAAATAGATTTCCATCTTAGTCTGGTTTTGTTTGTCAAAGAGAACTTCTGACCTACAAGTGCTATGCTGACCTGCACATCTGTGCCAAATCATTATAGAGCCATATAGCTTGACATAGTTAAAAGATCCTTTTGACGCAGAGACTGAGTCAGCTCAATAGTCACAGACGATAGTTAGATATTACAGAAAGTGGAATAAAATGTTGGTCTCTGTTAGAATATTTGTGCATCAAAATGTCCACTTCCCTGAACACAACTTTAAATGAGAAACTGTTTATGAAATAATATAGATTATGAGCAAATGTAGTTGAGGTAAAGTGGGAGATGAGTTGAAAATAAGATTAGGTTTTCAGTCTTGAAACCTGTTCCCATGGCAGGGAGTGCTTACTTTTTCAAGTAGAGTATGAAACTCCACCACGGGCCCCTGGGAGGATTAGATTCCTTCTACAGGAGGCAAATTGTTAATGAATGTATTACTGTAAAAAGGTCATTTCTCCATGGTTTTTACTAATGTTTGTGTGTGGATGTTTTAATTTTTATTTCTTCCTTCTATGTCCTCCTTGTCTATGTTGTGTCTCATGACTGTTCTGGATTGTCACTTGCGGTAGGTTTATTTTGCTATTTGGACACACCTAGTCTAAAGCTCTGATACATATAGTCTTCTGG